AGTTAAAAATACTCATATTACACATATGTATGATGTTACATTGTATTTACTGTGAAGGTGACAAATATGTGGGTAAAATAAAGTTATAGTTAAAGCCTGTATTGTCACCACTATGGAGTGGCGCTGCGAAGGAACAGAATCTTAGCTGGCTTACATTGTAGCTGTTCTGAATACATGAAAAGTAGTCTCGCGGGACTAGAACACTGTGGAAGGTATTGAAAATATCAAGATGTCCTGAGCCGAACTGGTTGCGTTTAGAACACCAACTCTCAGGTGAGTAACGTCCTTTGTTCGAGGGAAGGTTGATCTTACAACTGAAAGGAGTAGTTGCGTTAGAGGACGTTACTGTTAGAAGTCGGCCATGTCATCGTGCATGGTTGCTATGTTCTCTGTATTATTATGTGATCTATGTGAACGAGAGTGTGTTTGTATCAAATTGAAGATATGTATTATTGCCTGCTAATTTTTAGCAACAATAACTGTAACTCCAGGTTTCCGTTGCTTCATCGAATCTTCAATATATCTACGTGTAATATATATATAGAAGCTGTTCATTCGTCTTCTCCTGCGTCGTAAAAGTTATTTATCAATAAAAACCGTTTACTTTTTCTCCACTGTCTTGTGGTCCCCGGTTTCCTTGATGCCTTACAGGTTATTTGACACAATAAACCAGTATTTGTGATTTTATTGAACATTTTAAGATGTAGAAATTACAGAAACAAACACAAAATATAAGTTTACTATATCGCCTCTTCATAAAACATAAATACTTTACATATTAAAGAACCTAGAAAAGAAAGAATTAACGAAAACACTAACATGTACAATTTATGTAATTCCTTTAAGATGAAACTTACAATGAGTCAGAAATTTTGTTAAACGAATAGATACAGCGTGAAAAAAATAGTCACCCCAGATTTTGACGACTGCTAAACATTAACGTATTAGAGTTCAGATACATTTTGTCGTAAAATAATGAAGTCATTTAAGAAGCGAGTATTTGAACGATTTGTCAAAAGCCAGTCTGAAATCATCCTGCAAGAAATATGAAGAGAAAAGTTCCGATGTAAGGATGTCGATTGTTTGTTTGTTTTTAAATTATGCACAAAGCTACACAAGGGCCATCTGTGCTCTGCCCACCACGGGTATATAAACCCGGTTTCTAGCGTTGTAAGTCTGCAGACATACCGCTGTGCCACTGGGGGGCAAGGATGTCGAAATAAATACCAGGTTATTAATCCTGATAAGTGATATATCTATATATATTTGTTTTGGGAAGGATTCAACGTCGTTTTCGTTGTTCGAAACGTTCGACCGCGACTGTAGACGAAAACAAATATTACACGTTGTAATAAACAAACGAAACAAAATTTTATGTAAGTGCACAGTAATAAGATGACACCGGTGACAAGACTAATTGAAAGCAGAATTCTATATTATACCGTTGAGCCACCGGCGATAAGCTTACTTTGTTTGTTTGCTTGTTTTTAACATAAAGCTCTATAATTGGTTACTTGCACTGTGTCCACTGCGGGATCAAATTCAGAATTCTAGTACTATAATCTTTGAAGATTACCGCTGGACCACCGACGATAAGCCTATTTTGTATTCGCTATTGTATTTAGCAAGTGTTTTATTTTACATTTCAGTATCATTTCAAATAGTGCCTAGAATAGCAAGTGTTTTATTTTACATTTCAGTATCATTTCAAATAGTGCTTACAATAAAAACACCCTCTTAGTTTGAAAGAATACTGTTTGAATGTCTTAAAGTAGTAATGACAAAATTATTGTATGCTTTTTTTTATCACAGTAATTACGGACTTCTCAAGTTTTGTAAAAATGAAAAAAAGTACCTTACTAAATTATTATACTTAAGCAGTAGTACCTAACAGTTTAGGGCCCACTTTATTTTTAAAATAGTTCATATCGATTAATAGAAATACAGACTAATCTCTCTGCATTGACTTCTCAAACTATCTTCAAGTAAGGTTTTGGTGCTCGACGTTTATAGAAATATATAGACTGAAAATACTTCATATAATTTGATTATCTTGTTTGTCACTAATCCAGTTTTACCTGAGCTTAGGCCTACATAAATATATTATATTTAAAAGCACAAATCATTGTATTGACACAATGTTACAGAATATTTCGTTAAAAATTATTTTTTACAACTTAAGTTCATTAGATGGATTGTTTTTCTTCGGTAATAAAATAAAGGTAATATAATCATTTAATATACTTATTCGTGATTACAGAAGGATTTAGACATTTCTGTTTATACGTTTGAATAATTTTAGAAAAAAAAATACGTGTTTGAGCAGACGCCATTACTGTTGGTTATAGGTGTAATATGTCACAGATAATTGTTTGTTTCGAATTTCGCGCAAAGCTACACGAGGGCTATCTGCGCTAGCCGTCCCTAATTTAGCAGTGTAAGGCTAGAGGGAAGGCAGCCAGTCATCACTACCCACCGCCAACTCTTGGGCTACTCTTTTACCAACGAATAGTAGGATTGACCGTAACATTATAACGCCCCCACGGCTGAAAGGGCGAGCATGTTTGGTGGGACGAGGATTCGAACCCGCGACCCTCAGATTGCGAGCCGAGTGCCCTAACCACCTGGTCATGCCGGGCCTCTTCAGATAATTATGGACACTTTTTTTCTTTGCAGTTAATGCAAACACTTATCAAAAACAAACTATATGAAAACAATAAAATAAAGGGATTGACGTTTTGTATATTTATTGTTCCTCAGTTCAAGTCATAAGAATTTGTCATTTTTGCTGTGTCTCTCGTGGGATTCGAGCCCAAGATTTTAAAATTGAAAGGATCATTTCATGAAAAAAAACCTGAAAACCCGGATTTTTGCAGGTATCATGATTGGGTAGACAAAGGTAACAGAATCTAATTTTTGTTATCATTCGGTTTTGATACCTGCATAAACAAAATATTCTGTTTCAGTAAACATTTGCAGTACGAGTCATGAATTTTATCTTCCTTGTGTGTATTACACTAGGCAGAACTTGTTCGTTATAGACATTAAAAACATTCTAGCTTAAGCAAGGAAAAAAGTTCATATGGGAATGTCTTGTTCTGTTGAAAAAATTCACATAAATATATTAAATGGAAACCATTTCATTATTAATAACTACACAGACTGTCAATTATTTCAACGCTTTCATACCGTGTCACGTTTTTTTTAAGTTATTGGATATCTCAGCTTTGAGTTTTCAGTAGTAATTCTTTCGTTACTTATATGAATTACGAGAGTAAAACAAGAAATATATATATATATAAACATAATACCTGAATGAATTAACTAAGATTCAGAATACATAATAATGTTTATATAAAACTCTTTCAACATATTTACTGGCTTTCATGGAAACGTATGATAAGACAGGCCTATGAATGTAAACTTCATAAAAGTTGTTTTGTTTTTAATAACTCGCAATCTGAGGGTCGCTGGTTTGAATCCCGTCCCACCAAACATGCTAGCCCTTTAAGCCGTGGGAGCGTTTTAATGTGACGGTCAATCCCACTATTCGTTGGCGGTGGGTAGTGATGACTAGCTGCCTTCTCTCTAGTCTTTTACTGCTAAATTAGGCATGGCTAGCGCAGATAGCCCTCGTTTAGGTTTGCACAAAATTAACCAAACCATAATTCAGCTACGTAGATTTCGAAAATAATATTCATTTTTTTCTATCACATAAGGATTGTTTTACAAATCGCGAAGAAAAAAACTATTACTTAGATCAAATTTTTATTTCATTTACCACAATGAACATTTTTTTATACTTGTTATGTTTGTGTTCTAGAAGGATCGATAAGACTCTCACGTCGCGATTGGTCTAGATAAATCTACAGCCAGTGGTTGTCAACATTTTAAGAATAACAAAATGTAACCCGACTTCAATGAAAATGATTCACTTATGTAAAAGTGAAAAATCTGTACATGATGGAGAAAACTTGATATCATTTTCGGATTCAGCGAACAGGAGTTACTGTAGATCATGTAAAAATTTCAAGACAATAAAACATCGCAAGCCTGTTTAATCGGATAAACACGAATTAGTAGGACTAAGGGTAAGACTCTGGCGATGTGATGTTAATCACTTTCTTGGAAATTAGCCTATACTGTCACTTAACTCTACTTAGTAATTGGACTTTGATAACTTCATATATTACTAACCACGACAAAGATGAGTTGTTACAGTACAAGATTTATCATGTTGAGTAAAATCTGTAAGACTGCACATATTAATTTTCTAAAAGTTGTCAATGTACCTACCGTATTCAAATATAGAATTTCCAGTGTGAATAAATTAACGCTTCTCGTTGGCCAAGTGTTTTACTGTAATTAAAAATATATTTCTAAAAGTAATAGAATTCACTTCCGGATAGATTCATCTTGAGAAGATATTATTTAACTAGTTTCTGACGAAACCATTTCTACAATTCGATATTTTCCTCAAACAACATTCCTCGATTTACATTTTTTTTATGTAGATAGCTACAAAACATATAATACACTATAGATTAAATAGCGCTTCTTCAATTTTTTTCTGTAATATATTCTGTTAGCTGTATCTTTAGGAACTTTCGAGTTTTCATAACACGCTGTTTCAAAACATCTGACAAAAAATTGCATCGCAATTAAGGAAAGCTTAATTTCATCACTGATACACTTTTAAGCCTGTTTCTTTTAGCACAGAGCGGCATAACCGGTTAGTTGTGCTGTAACCCTCGTGGGTATTGAACTCAAAATTCTAGCGTAATAAGCCCTAGAGCTTGTCTTTGATTCGCCAGAGGACTATATGGGCTATTAAACATGAATATATTTAGAATAAAAATAAATGTTTTTATTAGAGCTATTATATCAACCATTAAATTATTGGAAATATTTTGATGTAAAAAATGATTTTTAACCAATTTTAAATAGATTTCTAGGATATCTATTTATAAACTGCTAAAAACTCAACCTTGAACAACACATTTAACTTTTATATTCTAGCAAAATTAATATTGTTTATTCAGTATCACATTTTATAATTCCTTCTATATGACACGAAGAAATGCAGATTATTTGGGATTTGTGGTGTGTAAGCCTTACTTGCAAATGAAATTACAATGGTCGTAATTACAATTAAAAACTCTAACGGAATTTAGTATGACGCATGTACAGAATGATTATAAAGGAAGTTTCACAGTTCAGCGAATGGTATTTTACAATCGGTGTGAATAGTAAGGGGAAATTGTACAATAATAATCATGTGGATTCAAATGCCAAAGTTTCACACCATCAACTTGAACTGATAAACCTTATTAAGGTTTTTAAAAAAGAAAATAGCTGTGATTTCAGATATTCACACTTAAAGCCATATACATCATTTAAACAATTACAAGATGTAACAAGAGAAGTTCAACAAAAAAGTCCTTCTACAAGAAAAACAAAGGCCCACAACAAGCATTCTTGGTCAGCAGGAACGAAGTTACAGCTAATCAGAATCACTAAATTGTACCGTTCAGAAATGTCAGAAACAAAATTGTTTAAGTTGTTTCAATGACTTTTACGGACTCCACACTTGCTGAAAACTTGGGTGAAGTTAACTGATAATGATGACGAATAAAACTTGTTCAAAAGCTTTTATGGATCTTTTTCTTGCAGAATAAAGTATTAAGATAGGTTAAATGTACAGCCCAAAATCTTCTTCATTAGAAACTCAATGGATTTTATATCTACGGAAGAAAAACAAACCCTTATTTGTTAAAGCAACAAAAATCGTTTGAAGAAGTTAAAGTTATCTTCATAAGGAGGAAGATGTACTTCAGTCATCAGTTGACTCTGCATCTTTTATGTACACACGTCTTGTTCTGCCTTAATCACCTTCTCAGCATAGCAGTTATTTGTAATTTGACTTCATTGGGATGTCGTCTAACCTTCAAAATTGCTATAAGCGGATCATACCTTTAAAAGATACGATAAATACCACTGAAATGACATCACTTTGGTGATTATCACTTACACAGTGCTTCACTATATGTCAGTCACTCTAAATGTTCACAAACATCGTCACAACAGCTGTTATAATGTACAGCTGGAACGCATGACAACTTTTATTTGGGTAACGGATATCTTATGTAATGTCAATTAGGTACGCTAGTTTTCTTTTCATCTAGTTTTATTTGTTTGTTTTTGCATGTGACGTTTCGTTCGTTCAGTTTAACGAGATTATATCCACGGTCTTCGTCTTGACCTTCGTCGTTCCTGACTACACGTGCCTAAAAGCAAAGAAAATAGAGAAAACATTTATAGTTAATTATAGACTTTAAACAAAATAGTAGAAGGAACAACGAAAGACTAGAGCATGCGCAGAGATTTGTTTTTCACTTAGAAAGTAAGCGAGAACGTCACAGACTTAGCAGTTCACAGACTGAGCTAATAAAGTAGGATTTGCTGCCTCTGTCCATTTCCTAATAACATCTTATTAGCCTAGACCAATGACGACACATCGTGATTGATCTCACAGTTTTACATAATAAACAAAAGGGCTGCAATAGTGAAATATCAATTACACACCAATTTAAAAAGTACTTATTATTATAATAAATGACAACTAGAAACAGAAGAAATATAGATAAAATGACAGATTCTTCTTAATTGGAAACATCTCTGGACAACTGATAACATTTCTATTATTGTCCTTTGAATAATCTGCCATATCACAGAAGCATATCTTGAGTATCTAAATGTCTTTAATATGTATATGTTGCTGACTCACCACAGACATAAAAATACATATCATTAACTAACCATTAAATTTACAATTTTCAGTTCAAAAGTTACAATTTTAAAGTGTTATTTAGAGAGAGAGAAACGATCTTGGCTGAAATAAAAAGTTTTTATTATTATGTGGAGAGTAAAGTTTTTTTTTTAACTTGATTACCAACATATCTAAATTATTTTAGCTAGAGTGCACTGCAAATTCAAAATAACAATAAAGAGTTATTTCCTATAATTAAACGCTAGAAAACGTAAGAATTCACATCATCGATGTAAATAGCTAACTCAACCACCTCATAGATAGCTAACTCAAACACCTCATAGATTTCAATTTACATTTATGATCACATAATAACATAAAAATCCTTTCAAAACGTATTAAAGTTCCTCCATGATACGTTTTTAGCTTTAATAAATATAACCATCCATAGTTCTCTTTCCCACCTTTACTTTAACTACAGAGCGATATTTCTAGAGTTTACTTATAGAACTGAAATAAATCTAACTTAGAATGTAAGTAATTGCGAGAAAGAAAGAAATCGATAAACTCACCAAAAATATTCTTACTATTATCCAATTACTACAATCTTACTTTCTATTTACTCAAAACAAAAATGATGGGTGATCTCCGTCATCACTATACTGGAAAAAGACAAATGAAAACATACATAGCTATAGACTGATAGCAAAATAGAGCAAATATTAACGTGTATTCTTGATTTTGTGGAACGCTAACTGGAGTCTCTTAGTTGACATGTTCATTATTAAAATATTCATCAAAAATATTGTATTTATATACTGACATTCCTCAAGTCGTTCTTCTAGCATCGAGATCTGTTCGCTTAACGAGTGAACCCGTTCCCATGGGGAACCATAAAAAGGATAGTTCAAGACGTGAGTAGTACCCTCTAGACCTCTAGAAGGTGATGCTGGGTTGACAGTGTTCTTATTCATGAATGATATTGATTCCGCTATTTTCTTTACCCGTATGTTCAAGGTCTGTCAGGTTATGTTTTTCTTGAATCTGAAAAAAAAGAACAAATAAAAAAATATTAACATTTCGTGAACTTAGCAATGTAGATCACTGTTCATGAATCAAACTATACATTAGAAAATACACACAAACATACACTCTCCCCCAACTAACAATTATGTCCAAAACTCCTTACAAGTTTATTAAATGATGGAATCTATTTTGTTCTTATTGGAATTTGTCAACCTGAACGGCACCTTTGTGCACGTGGGCTAAACGGTCAGATAAGAAACCCCTCGGGTACAGATTTAGACGTTCCTAAAAACAACATTCTCCACAAAGAGAATATAAATTGGGATTGATTATTCTAACGTAACCACAGCTGAAAGTGTGGATCATATCTAATGACAACACGTATCGAACCACACACCCTTCGATCCGCAGCCCAACATGCTAACTGCGAGAACATACCAGCCCTTGTTCTTTATGACAACGTGAGAGCGTACACGTTGGAACCCGAATGATGATGAACTATGCTTGGGCAGGACGAAGCCAGAGGAAACTCTGGTGGAGGTCCACAGCGGTTCTGACATGTAAATCGATCGTCAGAACTTGGTACAGGGGCGAAAGACAAATCCAACCATCTAGTAACTGGTTCCCTCCGAAGTTTCCCTCAGGATAGTTGGTGCTCGAGGGCAATCAGCCTCATCCGGTAAAGCGAATGATTAGAGGCCTTGGGGCCGAAACGACCTCAACCTATTCTCATACTTTAAATGGGTGAAAAGTCCGGCTTGCCCGAGTGAAGCATGAACGTGTGGCCATTTTTGGTAAGTAGAACTGGTGCTGTGAGATGAATGCACATTATCTATGCAAATAGCTAACTCAACCACCTTTTGGTGTGGTTTCGCTAGATAGTAAATAGGGACAGTGGGTATCTCGTTAATCCATTCATGCATGTCACTAATTAGATGACAAGACATTTGTATAATTTGAAAAGTACTTCTAAGAAAATATATCCGCAAATTTCTTCACTTTGACATACAGTGCTGTTGGAGTAGAAACTTCAGCAGAGTTTATGTAGTATTCCAAAAGTGGCAGCCATTTTTTTGTGATTGCATTCCTGCCTAGAGAGTGCTAGCGCACTCTTTGAAACATATAAGGCGTTGTTGTGCCCTCCCCTCACATGGTGTGTATCTTGTGTTATAGAAAATTGAAGTTTTTGTTGTTGTTGTTGTAAAGACGTGGTGCCATCTATAAAAGTAGTTAACGTTAACTTATGTCAAATATAATAAATTATCAATAACAACAATAAAGGGGGTGGAGGGGTTGTGAACCCACCATTAACATACCCCTTATTCCAAACTATTATCCCACAAAGTTTGTTTGAGATTGGCTCAGTGACCTAGGGATAGTTAGGTAAGGGACAACAGATAGAGACGCATATTTTTGTGCTTTATATATATATAGAAGATGTTAATAGTATTCTTGATTCTGAGCATTCTATAGTAAATTTTGAAATTGATTTTCATAATGCATACATATTACCCCTGGCTAGCTAGAAGAAAAAAAAAACACGGGGTTAATGAAGTCCACAGATCAAACTTGGCATGTCAGTAGACAGTAGATAATATTCTGAGGACTGGAAAATTCCTAGTGTTAGTTCTATTTTCACTGAGGTAGTAAGTGTTGCTCTGAAAGTTATTGACCAGTTAATATTATTTCAGTAATGAGAACAATCCCGGAAAGTCTAATAAAAATGCTTTGCACTTTACCTAATAAAACATAATATATTAAATAGTAATAAACATTAATTTACCAAATGAGAATCTTTCCTTGCTAATCTGTTAACTCTTCTTGAAATATTGCTTATTGTCTGAATGATGAAATTGTGTGGACTTAGTATACTCAGATTTTCAATAAGCTTTTGATAGGGGATTACACTAAAGATTACATTGGAAAATCATACTAATGGGGATTCGTGAAAGATTAGTAAACTGTGTTGTATGATGGTTGGATGAAAGAAAGCAAAATATTGTTATTAATGAAATTCAGTGAAACTAATGGAATGCTTGGGCCTTTGCTTTTTCTTATTTACATTAATGATATTCATAAGGTCACAATTATTAGACTAATATAGTTTGGGAATGACGTTAAACGTTCTTGATCTTTCTAGATGTATTGACGACTTTGTTATATTACTGAATGACTTGATTATTTTGACAAATATTTGGCAAATTACCTTTAATCAATAGCGTAACTGAAGAAAAGAATCTCGGCATAGTGGTGGATTAATCACTCAAGTCATGGAAGCAGTACTCTGTTGCTAGTATCAAGTACTCTGTTGCCAGTATCAAAGCAAGTTGAACTTAAAGAGTATATCGTTAAAAGACTATGTGTGTGTGCGTGAGAATATTTTTAAACTTCATTAAATCATTGACTGTTGATTATTTAAATGCGAGTTTGCCGTTTACAGTGTACGGCTTGCAAAAAAGTTAGGAGTAGGGGGAGTACGGATGACGTCACCATATGGTTGGGTGTAGATAAAACTCTGCATCGCGTAGGGAAAGGTATCTTGGGAATAGATCTACAACCTCTTAGAACCCCATCTAAGACAGTAGTGTTTATGTGTTAAGGTTCTGTGTGTGAATTTCTTCATTTGTTTATAAACACTTAGAATACAGGTACTATCACCCTGTTGATAAATTAATACGTTTGTCATTTTTGATTCGGCTCAAAGTGTCTTTTGTACTAGAGGTGTTTGGTGGATAGCTCATGTTATGGAGTAGGTTTCTTTGTAGTTACGCACAAAGCTGCACAATGGACTATCTGTGCTCTGTCCACCAAGGGTATCTAAACCCGGTTACTAGCACTGCAAGTCCGCAGACATACCACTGTGCCACTGGTGGACATGAAATAGGTTTAACCCACATAGATGTAATCTCGCACTCATTGAAACGCTTCGCACGGCCATCAGATTCGTTCAGAACTCATACCTAATCTCACACGTTTGTAGTCTAATCAGGTCATTAAATGTTTTAATTACTTTAAATATGTACTTTGTACATTCAAGTACGAAATACTACAACCAAAAATAAAATGTTTCGTAAATAAAGTACAAGTTTTCTCTTTAGTATTGATTACAAGGATATATTTATATTAATATAACTCATTAGTTAGGCCTCACTACTGTATAGATTGTTCAACTCCTCCTCTAAGAAAGGATATTGACTCATTGGAAAAGATTCAGAGGAGAGTTGTTATGGTGAATCCGGGAATGGGAATATTATAGGGATAGGTTAAGATTTCTCAATCTTCTGTAGGAAACAGTAGAGTAAGAAGTGATTTTATTATAATTTATAAAATTATTCGGGAAATAAAGGCCTATCTCTATTACCTTGTTCAGTATTTTGAAGAAAATAGGATGCTAGGAAACAAGTTTAAGATTTGAAAAAGACAGACGATGTTCTGGTTAAGTCTGTTTTATTTGTCTAACAGTAGTTTTGAGATATGGAATAAATTAGCGCCAGCAGTAGTATCAGCCAGCAGTAGTATCGGCCAGCATTTTACCAGAGTTTAAGATGTTTTACCATATTGTCCTGAAAAAATGAAAGGGCGAGTTAAAGGTTTTACTTTTTCTCAAGGATGAGTGTGAAGGGACACCAGAGAGAGTCCAAGTGGTCCATTGTTGTCCGAATGTTTTGATATACTATCCCACAAATAGCTGTTTCAAAACTTCATATTGTTACGACAGCGGGAGTCACGTGACACTAGTAGCACGTCATAAGATTCTAGAATGATCGGGGAACATCACGAATTATCCAGTATTTGCTAGGCGCCTCCTATTCTTGTATATAAGTGTGCCAGACAATCAAAATGGGAATTGAACGACAGACAGAGATAGAGACGGACAATTGAGTCAAGCGCGGTGGTACGTGAATTGTTCGTTGTGAATTATAGCGTTTGTTTAAGTTAAA